AAGCTCCACCGGCACTATGAATACTCAAATGCCTTTGTGCCCACAGTAGCTACAGATGTACAACGGAGAATCGGTGAAGTATAAAAACAACCAAAGAAAGCTTTGCAGCATTTCCAGAAGGTATCCCAGACTTCGCCAGGACTCTAAAGAAAGGGAGTTCCACAGCTCTGGAGAATAGCCATGAACAACTATTCTCTTTTCTTGATAACATATTTGTTAATAACAACCCTTCCTTTACCATTCCCTTCCTTTACCCCTTTAGGATAAAGATCACCCACTCTATTTCATTTATTCTCGCCTTTCTTCAAAACGGGGACCCAAAGCAGCATACAGCATTTGCCCCTCCTCCATCTTTTATCCTCACAACAATCCTGTGCGGTAGCTCAGGCTGAGTCCAGCACTCTAGCCACGACACCACAGTGGCTCTCTTTTAACTGTTCCTTCATACGTCAACTTAACATCCTAGGCAATCGACGGGTTAAACATTATCTGAGCATTGCAAAATATGGACAAACATTCCATGAAGCCCAAGAATGCCACCATGTAGCAGACAGCTTGCCCTTTTGGATTTCTTTACAGGGGCATAATCTGTGAGCTGGGGCAGATATCAGCTCTGCTTGCCCCTTAGCCCCGAAGCCGGTAGGGGCCAACCTAACAGTACCAAAAGGCCTTCTCCTACAGGCTGCTGGCTATGAACGAAAGCAGTCTTCAGCAGCTAAACAGACCCCCTAGGAAGGGGCTCATTTAAATTCATTCAAGTTGTGAACTCTCACAGTTTTCTTTGACCCTGAAAATACCCTTGGGATGAATTAGCTACCACCCCAATTGTGCTTTTGGGGGGAGGCAGAATGCAAAGAAAAGTGGCTCTAGAACCTTTTCCTCTTAAAACACTGTCACCTGTAGAGTAATAAACAGTGTTCCCAAAGTACAGCCACTTACCACCTAGAATTTACTTTCTGTAAAATCCTGGGTAGAAAATAACCCCCTATGCACTTTTGCCATAGCGGTTCTTTTAACACCATGGGGTACTAAAATACCCTGTTGGAGAATTTTTTCCTACCCCATGAAGAAAACAGTTGTTCAGGAAAACCTTTTTTAAGTGCTCTGAAGACAGACAGCCTGACAACCACAACCAAACAGAAAAACGTTGACATTTTTAACCCCTGGCTACATGGGGGGATTTAGCTTGGGATGGAAATATACCCCAAACGCAAGATGTGTACATTTTGGTTTGAGGGTGAATTGCATCATTTCACAACAGCCGTTAACTAGTCTGTTTTTGCAATTAGCATAAGTATCAAACCTGTTGACAATTAAATTCTCTGGCTTTTTGGATTGTTGTTAATGAGCAGAACACTTTTAATGTTCTCAGCTACAGCCTTTCTTGACATATTAGATGCCCAGCCCAAACTTAGGAGCTATAGTACCTTCTACAAGCATAGATCTAAAAAGGAAAACACTGTGGGGAGGGTGGGGTGGAAGGAGAAGCCTGCGTGGTGCTGGTGAGGAGCCAAAACCCAAAACAAGAGATTACAAAGAACCACTCAAAATCCTCTCTTCTTTTGGCTGATCAAGCTGGTGAGAGTTACTCACATTTTTTCTGCCTCGCCACCCACAGAGACTGAACACACACGGAGACAAATATCTAGGAACCTCAGCGTCCCACAAGGATCTCACAACAGCCTTCCTTTATATGCCTTGACCATACGAAGAGCAGAAAACACTGCTAGTGAATGCCTCTTCATTGTGCTTATTAGTTCTACTTAGTAACCTTCAGAGCAGAGGACAGACTAGAGTTTTTGCGAGCTGGTTGACAGCAGGCATATGCTTGTTCCGACATGGTTAGATAGTGTCAGACTAGGACCTCAGAGACCCAGGTTCAAATCTCCTCTCCATCACAGAAGCTTACTGGGTGACCTTGGGCCAGTTCCACACACACACTCTCAGCCTAACCCGCCTCACAGGGCTGTTGTGAGGGTACAATGGAAGAAAACAGAATGATGTATGCTGTCCCTAAAATACTTGGAAGGCGAGATAAAAATTAAACCGAACACACCACTGCTTAGCCTCTTGTGTTGTTGCGTTTTCCCTGCAAAAGGAATTCGTTTCTGAATTAGTCCTCTTCTGGATAAAGGCCATTTTTTAAAAAATGTCATTTTCTGAAAAAGGGACACAGTAAAATGGTGCCTAGAATAGCTGTCGGAGCAACAACAAAAAAGCCATTTTAGAATACACTAAGAAGCAACAAACTGACAGAAAAGGGAAAGGGACAAACACGTAAAACAAGAATTGCCAAGAAAGAATCCGGTGACACCCAATCTAATTTTGAAATTTAAGAGGCCTAAACGTTACATGAAAGATTCACTCTGCAACAACAGGTTATTTCCGCCTCCCCTGCAGACGGATCCAACACATGCCTTGTCCTCCTGGGACCTACTCCAGAGGAAACACACCTAGGACTGCTGCAAGCCTAAATCCTCCAACATAACCCTACTTTCACTTCTCAGAACAGGTGGTGCGTGGAATCACTCACTCAAGAGGAATGTTAATCTCTCAAGTGGCAAAGAAAAGAGCATTAAAACCAACAGAGCACACCAAGGCTGTGGAACTGTAAGGGGCACCCCCCAATTCAGAGGACCTGGATGCATTTATACAGATAGCATCTTGTGCTGATTAAATTATAATCTGTTAGAAACCCTCTGTTGATGTTTGCTGTTGGACAACTTCTTGAAAATCCTGACATTGAGAGAGGTGATTGGATTTCGCAATCTCTTTTCGGGAAAATGTGTATGTCCGTGCATGCATGCATTAGTCCCATTACTGAGACCAGGGGGGCCGGCTGCCAGGTTTGGTCTGGCAGCAGCTGTTTATGTGAGATACTTAATTTAAAAAATTTCATTAAGCAAAAAAGAGAGAGGTTCCTCGTTAACTCACAAGCGGATCTATTCCAATTTTCCTAGGGTGTTTCAAACAAAATGCACGGCCCAATCCTTGGTACAAATGGGTCTAGGCACACCTCAATTCTGCATAGGATCTGGCTGCAATGCCATTTTAACATACCTACTTGGAGATACAACAGGAGACCAGCAGCACTTTACAGACTAGCAGAATTTATTCCAGTATAAACACTGGCGAGTCAGTGCTCGCTTCATCAGATGCAATTCAATTTACACTGGAATAAACCTGGTCAGTCTTTTTTTAAGGTACTACCAGGCTCCTGCTCGGTTTTGCTACAGGCAAGTAATGCAGCTTTCTTTTGGAATTACTTGTTAGTAAATGACCTGGGTGGCACAGCGTGGCCTGATCTAGTCAGATCTTGGAAGCTAAGCAGGGTTGGCCCTGGTTAGTATTTGGATGGGAGACCACCAAGGAATACCAGGGTCATTACGCAGAGGCAGGCAATGGCAAACCACCTCTGTTCATCTCTCGCCTTGAAAAACACTACAGGATCACCGTAAGTCGGTTAGGACTTGAGGGCACTTTACACACACACACCAATGCCACCAAAGTCAATGGGGTTTGTTTCTGAGTAAACACACTTTGATCTGGCTGCCTAGCGTCAAAGGGGAGGGAGCCCAGATGTTGCCCCCTCCACGGGCTGGGTGCTCAGCAATTTGCAAGGCAACTGGGGTCGAGAGAACCCTTTCCCCCAAGCACCCAAAGGGGAGGGGAGCTGGCAGCCAATAGCGAGGAGGAAAAGGCTGGTTAGCAAACATCAGCTGAATCGACACGGGCATAAATAAGGGACAGGGTGGGGGAGGGAAGGCGATGGGCGCCGGGCGCCAGCGACTCCCATTGGGGCTTGCCTTCCAAGAGGAAGGAAGCCTCTTTTTTAAAGCACAAGCCCAGCGACGGTTGTGAGGGCTTAGCAAGGCGCGGGTCGTCACTGAGGACAAACATCTGAACGGATTCCAAGGGCTGGAATCAAGTTACCCTTTGCAAAACAAATAGACCCATTTCCTTGACACCCAGGACCGTCAGGCACAAACGCCCACTCTGAGATCCGGAGATCCGACAGCTTAAATCTGGGAAGCAGCAAGGGAGAGGGAGGAGAAGAAAGGGCTTAAGGGGAGGGGAGGGGAGCGCCACATTCGTATTCGAAATCTAAGAATTTGCCTTTTTTTTTTTTTTTTAAGGGCTCCCCTTTTTTTGCGGAGCGAAGGGCGGGGATCCCAGGGAAACATTATTTCACGCCGACATTTCAGACTTCGGAAAGGAGGAGGGGGAGATTTTTAAAAAAACACCCTTTCACATTCGGATGTGCTGGGCAGCAAAATGTGTGTGTTGTGTGTTGCGTTACGCTCGCGCAAAAAAATAAATAAATAAATAAAAGCGAAGGGAGAACCGGAGGAGGTCGCGTGAAAAACAACCGCTGGCTGGCGGGCTCTCGCCTGGCCACATCACTGACATGTTTATGAAAATCCCCCCAAAATCCCAGCCTCTCGAGGCGCGGGGGGGTGTGTGTGGAAGAGACGCGAGGGGCGATCGCGAGCTACAAAAACAAGCCCACCCCAGGGGGGAAGCGCGGGGAGCGAGGCGCCGGAGGAATCTGGCTTAACCCCCCCCCCCCCTTCAGAATCCTGTTTACTGGAAATCTACCGGGGAGAAAGAAAGAAACCGACCGTAGAGAACCGGTCTCGCTGCCTGCCACCCCACACCAACCCTACATTAAAGAGAGGAATGACAAGCCGGTGAGGAAGCCCCGTCGATCGTCTGCACGGAGAGAGGGGCCGCTTCGGAGGGCGCCGGACTCTTCTCCAGCAAAACCGGGCGAGGCTGATAAGCGTTTAAGCCACATGCCCGATTTCCCGCCAGGACTAGAGGGATCGGGGCCCCTTTCGATTTCCCGGATCCGGGAGAGTAACGCGGGGAAGGGCTCACCCGCGGCCGCGTATCCACACGCACACAAGCACCCGCACTTTGCCCGTCTTCTCTTCTTGCAAAACAACAACAAACCAGCCAAACTTTCCCAACTTCCACTGCACCCACCCACCCCTTACCTTGTTTTGAAAGCACCAAGGCTTCGTCCCTCTGCACTTGGGTGATGATGGACCGGCTTTCCATCTAACAATCCCACAGACCCTGGGGATCCTTTGGTTGGGAGGAGGAGGGGGGGAGAGAAAGAGGAGGGAAATGTCCAGGGTGGAGGAGGAGGAGGAGGAGGAGGAGGATAAACAAAGAAAGAAAGGAAAGGCTTGACTCAGAGTCTGGGAAATTGCCGTCTTTCCTCTTCCCCTCCTTGGCTCTGTAGCGTCTCTCATGCCCTTCGAAAGGGAAACTGAGGCTCAGCCAACTGTGGAGGGCCAGGTGAGCATCCCATGTGCAGATGTCTGACCAACTCAAGCCCAGCGGAGAATCATACACTCTCTCACACACACACACACACACAGAGGGAGAGGAAATGGGACACAGGCGGTTTCCAGTCTCCCCGCCTCCTCCTCGCCTCCTCCTCCTTCCTCCGGATAAACAACCAGCCGCGGCTCCCTCCTCTGCACCTGGCGACAGGCTGACAGCTCCCGGCGTCCGGAGAAAGCGGGCGCTCCCGCGCGCCTGGAGGAGCCCCGGGGAGGGCAGCGGAGGCGGGGGAGCCCCGTTACTGTTGCAACGTTCGACGCTTTTGTTATTTTGTTGCCAGCAGTCCAGGGGCGCGCTGCACGGAGAGTAGCCTTGAAACCGCTCCGGCCTTCCCATTGGCCCGGCGCGAGGGGGAGTGGGCGTGGCCAGGAACTCTACTATGCGGTGTTTACCTAACAAACATTCCAGCCGCCGGAGGGGAGAGGAGAGGAGAGGAGAGGAGAGGAGAGGAGGGCAGGGGCGGCCACGCCTCTTCGGAGGGGGCGGCCTTGGCTGGCCGAGTAGGGCAGCAGCTGGTGAGCCTCGCCAGGCATCGGCCGAAGAGAGAGCCCGCGCTCGAAGCTCGCCCGCTGGCGCTCTGTACCGGGGTGGGGGTGGGGGTGGCGGAATGAAGAGACCCAGCGCAACAGGGCAAGACGGCGCTCGAATCAAAGGCACGTTTTAAATCGGTCGTAACCCGGAAGGAAGAGCGAATTCTTTGCGATCCTTCAAAAAAAACACCACCACCACACACCAGAACATGACTGCATTCGAAGTAAAGAGCTACAGCTTTCTTCCCAAACGGTGCTCGTGCTGAAGCATCGTGATCCATCAAAATATGGGGAGGGGGGAAGCGCGCGCGCCTGTCTAAACAGGGAGGCTTGCAATAGTGTAGCTAGGATATTGATACCTCGATTGACCCTTCCACGTCGGCATAAACAGCAAATGCATTAATTCAGAAATGTATCCTACCCAGTCCTCTGGCCTTCCCTCTTCCTGCTCTTGTTAGATTATAATGCAATTTAATGTGTCAACTCAACATTTACACCAATGGGCACATCGCTCCTGTTTCTTTGACCTACCCAGTGCCTCCCATTACAATTTTACATAAGACATCTGCCTTAAACTGAGTCCAACCCCTTGGTCTACCAAGGTCAGCCTTCACTGGCAGCAGCTCTTCAGGGTCTCAGTTGGAGATGCCAAATCACATCCCCTCTTACAGGATCTTTTTCAGATGGAGATGGTGGGGATTGAACCTGGGAACTTCCACAGGCAAAACAGATGTTTAACCCCTAGGCACAACAAGCCATCCCTCCTGTAGCCTCAGTCTTGATATCCTGGCCTGGATGCAAGGTCAAGCCTGTGCTGCCTGGAGGCTACCAGAATCAGTCCATGAGGCCTAGCTTCAACAGACCTACTTACAACAGTCAGGGGTCGTTTCGTAGAAAAAGAGCTAGGGGGAACTCATTAGCATAACTCATTAGCATCTGCCACCCCCCCTGACATCACCGGAAGTGTATCATAAGGCCACACCCACCACTCAGTCTTAGTCTTAAAGGTTAGTCTTAAAGGTGCTATTTGAACTCTTGGACTATTTTGCAGCAACAGACTAACACAGCTACCTCGGGGAAGCTACTGGATGGGGCTGGGAGTCCTTGCGGAGGCCATGTGGAGTGGCCTTGGCCAGGCAGAGGGGGAGGACGGCCGATTTACCCTCCTGCTTCTTCCTCCTTCTGCAACAGAATGAGGCTGGAAGAAGGGGGTGGCCGGAACAAGGGGCGGGGCTTTGTTGTGTGCCCCGCCCCCTGCACCTCACCCGGGGGAACTGCGATCCCCCGCGATCCCCCCCGAAATGACCTCTGACAGCAGTGGACATCTGATGCCCAAGGCACCTGCCTCACTCAGGCAGACTCTGGGGTGGCTGCCTCACCTTCTCCAATGGATGCCATGCATACCAGAGATATGTGAGAACCTTCATGGCTTCCTGGTAAAGGTGCCCATATGAGGTCCCATGAGACCCATGTTCAGGCCTCTGCTGCTCTGCCATGGAAGCTCAGTGGGCGATCTTGGTTGGGCCTATCACACTCTCTGTCAGAGTGAGGGAAAAAACACCCTTTCGTCAACTGCAAGTGCCAACTGCTGGTCGCTCTTCCCTTCAGTGGACCGAAGCTTCTAGATAGGTAAATAAAGCCTACCCTCATCTCTATTCCCTGCTACAATCTTTATTTCTTGGTTAGACCTTGTATGATTGATTTACTATGTATTTAGGTATGTGCACTTTACTATTCTATCAGTTTCAATAACACTCTATTAGTTAAACAGCCTGGTTCATTTGGGGAAGGACCTCCATATACACAGGTGAAAAGATCTCAAGTTACTCCCTCTTGCTAAGCCGAATTCCCCAATCAAACAAGCAGTTTTGGGTAACAGATTAATACCTTGAATAAAACTTTGTGGGTCTTAAAGGTGCCTCTGGAGATTTTGTTCTGTCAGTCTAATTTGCTTCGGAGCATTGTTGTGAGGATAAGATGGAGGTGAGAAGGATGTATGATCCCCTGAGATCTTTGGAGGAACGAGAGGGTTAAAAGTGTACCAAATGCATAAATAAATTACTAAATAGCCTGTTAAAGATATGGGGAATCCATATGCCTCCCCCCCCCAAAAAAAACCCCCAAATTAAATCAGGTCTAAATCTGACAGCTTGCAAAACTTGAGAGAGTAGACTGGATTTGGAGATGAAGTAAATTCCTCTTCTAGCAAGTATTCGTGCCTCTTCAGTGATGCCCATAAATAATGTAACAACTTTTTTCCCCCAATGGTTATCTGATTTTTACATTTTTTACTCCAGTCTTGTGGTGCTTCTGTCTACCATGTTTCTTTTTTAACATCACCTATGTATGTATACAACATTTCATGTTCACATGGCTCTCTCTTCTGTTTTCTCCTCTGGAACCGTTTTGCCAGGGTGTGAGGGGAGATACTATTGAAATGCCGAGGAAGATGGGAGGTAAAAGGCTATGTCTGGGGAATGTCTGACTTTTCCCCTGGAAGAAAGTCTCCCTGGTGCCCCTTGGCGACCTCCAAGGAGGAAAAAACCAACAAAATAGTTCTGTGAAATGCACACTAGAACACAGCTTTTGGGACATCAGCATCCAGCAGACCAATCTCCCTACTCCTCTCACACCTATTTTCATTATTATTACCCTACCATCACATTAAAATACAGCCATACACACATGGCTCAACTATTAACAGATGCAGAGTTTAATAAACATGGCTCAGAAATGAAAATTCTGATTCCCAGCCAGATATCCACATTCATGTGTGCATGGAGAAATCCCACAAAACCAAATTTCATTTGACAGGTCAAGCGGAACTAAATGGTGAAACTTCTTTCTGCAGGGTCTTCATTTTGCTTCCTCATTTACAGGCCTTCCAGTATCTACTGAAAACCTCCTTATTCCAGAAAGCCACTGAGAAGAAAAATGTTAGTTTTGCTGAACTGTCCGTGGTTGATTTTTTTTAAATCATAATGTATTAAGTTGTTCATCAGCTGCAGGCACGGGGTCAGTTATAGGTTATTGCAACGTAACTATTTTCCTGCAAACGTACAGGGGCAGTGAAAGAATCACTAAAGACCAGGGGTGCCAATTTTCAGCACAGCAATAGGCAATGGCAGAGGATGCCAACCCATCCCCTGCTAGTTCTTCTTCACGCTCCTTTCACTTGTGTCAAAGAGAAAAATGGGAAATCCACTTGCTTCAGTAAACAGGGGAAGAGGGTTGACTTTGAAACTTGGGTGTAGCCATCGAAGTAGTGTAATATTTTTTTTTCCCTTGGAGCCAATAGGGACTCCATGGGGCAGTTTGCAGAAGCAAAAAAAAAACATGGGACGGGGAGGCTAAATCCGCTTCTCCCTGTGTGCTGCGGTTGCAAAGAGAAAAGAGACAGGGTGCGTTGCACGTGTGGTGCAAAATCCTTCTGTTGTCCCCCAACAAACAGGACTTTGTAATGTGTAGATGGAATAATAGGACCTGGGGAAGGGGGACAGGGAGAGAATAGCCCTGCAACCTCTCCTGCTACTTATGCATTGTTCAAAATAAAGGAACAATCTCTGAGTGGCAAGTAACCTTGCAAGCCTCTGGAGTGCACCATCCTCCATTGGCTGCCCCGGGATGCAGCTTTCATTTATTGTGACATTCATCACTTTATATATTGATTTGTTTAGATTTACACTCCACTTTCCTCCCCAATGGGGACCCAGAGCAGCTTCCAACTTCATTTTCCTTTCCTCCATTTTGTCTTCACAACAACAACCCTGTAAGGAAGGTCAGGCTGAGAGAGAGAGACTAACTGGCTCAACATCACCCAGCAAGCTGCCAAAGAAGAGCGAGGATTCAGAGCTGGGTCCCCCACAAACCAGTCTTTGACAGTCGAACCACTACACCATGCAGAAAGCTCTCATGCAATTCACCATGTCCTCTCCATGTCATTCACAGCTGAAGCTTCTTCCTACACAACCACTGTCTCCCCAGCCAATTTTGGCCTCCCCTCTACTTGGAACAAAGCAGCTTGGTCAGACATACCAACCCCGGCACATTCTTTCCTCATCAAGTCTAGGAAATGGCCCTCCTACTGGGTGCCACTTGGCATCTCTCTGTGGAGACATTTGCAGGGAATGGTCCTGGATGAGAGACTGGTGGGTGACTATTTCCTCAGGGCCCATAAATTATAACTATTTTGGCGTAAGGCTCCCTGAGAGGAGAAGGGGAGAGAGAGCCAGCCAGCCGGGCAAACTGTGGAGCAGAAGATGAAACAATATGTGA